TGAGAATGGGGAGCGCTGGCTTCGAGCTGGAGAAGGAGGTGCACATACCGTGATTTTGTGAGTCTCCTCTCTCACTCATAAATATATTATTGCTATCTCTGTCTATATTCAGATTTGCTCCCGAGTGACCTGCTTTCAGTAAAAAGCAAAGCACAATCCCCTAGACGCAGTAGGAGGTGCAGGGGATTTGCCCTCCAGGACCTACCTGGCACCTCCCAGAGCACCTGGTTCTCACTCAGCCTTTCTGATTGAGTGTAGGCCCTGGTGCTGAATTCCCTCGGTCCTGGGAAAGGGCAGCCCTGGGCTCATTCTGCGCTAGAGTAAAGGGCATGCAGGTGACAGAGGAGACTGACGACATACTCAGCTAAGGGGACGCTGGTCTCACAGTCTGGAGCCCAGATCTGCCACATTGGTCCCTGCATTGCTGGGATAGGTGCAGTGGCACTGAGAAGCCAGGCCTGACGCCGGGGCAGCCACAGCACTTGTCCTGGATTGGAGCAGAGGCAGGATGCTCAGGAATACGGCAAGGCAACGATTCAGGTCTGCTCTGGGACCTGTGTGCCTGAGCCTCCTCACTGTGACAGTGGGACACACACGGTGACTGCAGACACACATTAGGCTGTGGTGATGCCGGCAATGAAAGTCAGAGGCCTTGGTCAGAACCAGGACAAAGACATTGTCATTGTCGTTCCTGATTAATGGCTTTAGCGCCATGATGGAAGGCCTGGCAGTGGATGCTCCAGCTGTGCTGGATGTGAGCGAGCGTATGAGCCCACCCCAGGAGTCCTGTCCGCAAGCCCGCCCCGTGAGTCCTGTCCGCGAACCCGCCCCGGGAGTCCTGCCCCACGAGCCTGCCCCGGGAGTCCTGTCCACGAGCCTGCCCCGGGAGTCCTGTCCACGAGCCTGCCCTTGAAGTCCTCCACACAAGCCCATCCTGGAACCCACTCTGGGAACCCTGCCCACGAGCCCGCCCTGAGACCCACCCTGGGAGCCCTGCCCACGAGCACACCCTGGGACCCCATCCTGGGAGCCTGCCCTTGCAGTCCTCCACACTAACCCATACTGGAACCCCACTCTGGGAACCCTGCTCATGAGCCTGCCCCAGGAGCCCTGCCCACGAGCCCGCCCTGAGACCCACCCTGGGAGCCCTGCCCACGAGCCCGCCCCGGGAGCCCTGTGCAAGAGCCCACCCTTGGAGTCCTCCACACGAGACCACTCTGGGACTCCCCCTGCAAGTCCTGTCCACGAGCCCGCCCTGGGAGCTGAGACAGCTGTGGTGGATTCAGCTCTGGGCATTCCTCTTTCTCTCCTGTGGAGCCTCCAGCAAGTGCAGCCATGGGCACTGCGGTGGGTCTGCGGCCTCTGCGGGACAGAAGCAACCAGAGGCAGCTGTCGACAGTGACTAGAGGCCTGTCAGTCCACCCTTGGGCCAGCGTGAGGGGCTCATGGCGGGCATCCCGGAGCGGGTGGGGGTCAGTGTCCCCATTGTGAAGGCCAGGACTCAACCCTGCCTGCATGCTGCTGTCCTTGGGCCTTCAAAGGCTTCCTAAAGAAAGCTGTCCTACTCCGTGGGCTTTCAAAAACAAAACAAAACAAAACAAAACAAAACAAAACAAAACAACACAACACAACACAACACACCGGGCAGCAGCAGGAGCAGCAACAAAACCCAAAGAAATGAGCCCTGGGCCTTCCTCCTGGAGTAGAGGCTGCTTTCCTGGCGTTTTCAGCTCCAGCAAACACAGGCTTCCCCTGCGGCGTGACTTGCCCCTTCCTGTTCTTTGGGTTTGGAAAGCCAAGCCCAGGTCCACCCACTGGGAATGTCTCTAGTCTGTGCTTCTGCTTGGAGTCAGCCACATGCTCGCCTACCCACGTCTTTTCCTCTTGGTAGATTTGGGCAAATCCTTAGAGCCCTCAGGGTCTTCCCCTGCCCAGGGGTCACCCCGTTAAGCACGTTGCATGGCACTCCGTCCCAGCCATCCCCACCCCCTCGCGCGTGGGGCAGCTGTACTCACCCTTTTAATTTTCCAGGAGTCTGTTCTGAGGCCCCAGGCTATGCCCGTCCCTCACTCCTGCGGGAAAGTGGAGCCACCCCTGTGGTCCCGAGTCCTGCTGCGCCTTAAATGCCGGGTCAGCAGCTCCGGCCCCTTCTGCCCTCTCCCTGCGGGGAGCTTTGACTCCTTCCTGTGAGGCTCAGCCAGCTGACAAATTCATCACTCAATGGACATGCTCGTTTGGCAGGGAGCCCGCAGTCTGAAGACCCCCTGTGTCTGGATCTAGCATCCACTGTTACTTTTAAAGATGAGCAGAATCTTCAAACCAGAGCCTCAGGGGAGCGAAGCCCCCACCCCTTGGACAGCCGAGCTCACTCTGAAGAGCAGGGAGGAAGTTCCAGGAGGTCATGGGCGTGGGGACAACAGAGCCACAGCCTGATGCAATTGATCCCAGTGTTATGGACACAAAGCAGAGGCAGGGAGGCATCCCTAGAGAGGAGCTGGGACGGCCGTGATTTCCCAGGGTTCAGCCTCAGCTCATGCTCTGAAGGGACAGTTAACAGCTTATTGGCAACTTGGATCAACAGATGTTAGCACTGGTGGCAACTATTGCAGGTGGACTTTGAGGGGAGAGGAACATACAGAAATGCCCTCATAAGGACAGGCACTTCAGCTGGTCCCCGAGGAGCCTCTGAGGGATGCCACAAAAACTTAGGAGCCACATCCTGAACTCAGGCCACAGCTCTGGAGGCGGCTTTGGCCGTGGCCTCAGTGCAGGCTCCACTTGACATTGGTATCCAGGGTGTGGGAGTGGCAGTTGGCATGTGGGAAGATTGCTCCCGTGGTCATTTTAAATCCAGAGGCTGCTGCAGAGGGCAGGGTTACCTGCAGGTCTGGCTGCATTTGAGGGAAGCCTTGCCCCAGCTCTGGAGGGGCTGGTCCTGGTGCCAGGGGGCCTGGTTCCTGCTTAGCTGTGTGGCCTGTCTGTGGCAGCTGCAGATGGCATGGTGACCAATGATGGGTCTTCCCACCATATTCTCCTCAGAGCCCACTGTCGTTCCCTGGGGCATGACACCTGGTCAAGTCAGTTAGGACACTTGCTGAAGCTGGGATGCCTGGGGAGATGGGGGTACCTGGGAGGTGGGGGTGCCTGGGGAGGTGGGGGTGCCT